GTGGAAATGGAGGCACCGCTGCACCACGAGTCGAGTTTAAGCAGCCGAAGTCTCGAGCAGCATCGGCATCAGCAGCATCAGCTGCATCAGGCGACGATAAAGGAGCCGCCCTCGCCGGAAGTCCGTCTTCAGCCTGAGGATCTCTCGGTACAAAGGCTGAAGGTCGAGGCCGAGAGGCGTACGCCCCAGCCGACGCTACCCAAGCGTCCGGAGCTCAAGCTCTCGGTGCGCAAGCTCCTCGGCTGCACTCCGTCGCCGCCGCCGATCAGCAGGGACCGATCAACGAGTCCGGATGAGCAGCGACCCGATGGGAGGCCGAGCCCCGAGGTCAGGCAATCGAGCCTCCTCAAGCCCGCCTCCGGCCACGAGGATACGGTCAAAGGTCTGTTGCGTCGTGCCTCTACGTTTTTAATCGCGAGAGCCCATTGGCTGTACCGTACCCCCCCCCCCCCCTTCTTTCTTCATTAACGTGTGGTTAATTCGATTGGCTGTGTACGTTATTTTTTTAATTGTCAGCATAATTGCCGATATGTAATTTACGTCACTCTCAAGCGCAATGGATCATCGATGCTGGGCTATTATTAAATTGCGCCCTTTGGTGGTCAAAGTATCCGCGGTTTATTGACGTAACAACTCGGCTTTAAGCTCAATTTGGCATTTATTATTCGTTCCTCTTTCTCTAGAACTTTTTAAAGATCTTTTACTCTTCGGTTTTCCTATTACGACCCTGCACGCTCTATACTTTATCGTAGCGATACATCTTATTCAAGTTATTCTACGAGATTTAATTACTCTTACAATGCTAAACGAAATATAGGGGTCCTTTATCTCATTATTATATAATCTCGTAGATCCCCTAACTTTTGCTATTCTATCTTGTATCTTGTTAGAATGATTGTTCCCAATACTTTATTATAAAATCGTCTGCATTGGCCATTGTTCTTATTATTCAATTTATTTATATTAAATAAGTAATGAGACACTTTTAAATGATGGATATGTGTATGATCGAGGTTGTATAAGGTGATTTAGAATTTTATTTAGTAATGTCTGCGATATAACGTAATATCAGATTCATTATAACGACGACTGAGAAGCCAATTTTTTTTAAAGTTCCGTAGATGTCGATGCCTACTGAAAATATTACATTTTTAATATTATTTTTTGTTGTTGTTGTGTACTGATTTTTTATTTTTAAAACAATAAATACATTGTGCTATCTCTGTTTTCATTAAGGATTTCATTCATTATCTATGATTTTTTCTTCATTTTCTTTTCTTTTTTTTTCTCTTTTTTTTTTTTTTTTTTTAATAAATTGAATAACTAGAGACATTATATAATATCCGGATTATAAATAATATCAGTGTCTACACGAAATAATGACGATAAAATGAATTATTAAAATTGTTAGTCTTGGGCCATAAACTTATTAATAAATAATTAGGTATTTATAATACCGTTCGTCTGCTTAACAAAATATTAAAATATTAGATTGAATTGAAAGTCAGTTGGTTCAAAGTCATTTAAATCTACTCACATATAAATGTTAATAATGCAAAAAATTATAAATAATTTACAAATTTTACTAATAATGTATAAGCCAAATTAATAGCTAAATGTACTTGGGTAAACACGTTTTTAATTTGAATATATACGATAGACGTAAGGTAATCAATAAGATTTATCAAAATTTTAGGAAATTAACGTTATTAGTAATAAACGATTTAACAAAAGTTGTTAGAAAATTTATTTTTAACACAAAAGCTTTATTATATTCACTTTTCATAATATTATTAGCAATGTTTTCCTGAACGGTACTTTAAGCGTTTTAGTTAACTATCTCATTAACTTAATTAAATTGCAATCATTAAAATAAATATTCGCTACTAGTGAAATCTATTTAATTACCATGATTATATTATTTGTTACTCTAGTAAATCAAACTGCTGGTTTTATCGTTAAATTTGAAAAACCTTGAATTGCATTATCTAAACGATTATTGGATTCGATTATTCGATCAGTGAACTTTCATGCATTTCTTACTTCTTCCGTCGACACATATATTCATTTCTTTATAAATATCTGACACATTCAACATATATTTTACGAATTTTGCACATCTAGATAACATGAATTCAATTACATAATTTACATTATTTGAAATTTTTGTTAAAATGATTATTGTTAAAATCATTGAAATGATATAGATATGACAAACTATACAATTAAACTAGAATTAACATTTTTCATATCGATAGTATTGCCTTTTGATAGAATAATTTTATCAGAGATTATTTTATGTTTTGAAATTTAAATTACCATATATGATTAGATAAGCTTTTATTTAAGAAATGAAATTCTACTTAATCTTAGCATCAAGGAATATTTTTATCTTTTACAGTTAATAAGGAAGAATTCAAAACATGGACATTTCTTAATGACAAATATTAATTTTTCTAATATAAAACGAAGATTTTGGAAATAGATTACGATATTTTAAAAAAAGGAAAAAAAATTTATATATATCTACAATCAGATTAAAAAGCCAAATATATATTTTGTACACAAATAGGAATATACAATGTGATTAATTTTCACGAATAATTTTAGCTCATATATATATATACATCACACGATATTTGATTAATTTTTCTTAAAAAATATAGTTAAAAATTTGCTTCTTTTTTTCATTTAGATATTATTTAATCGTTTAATTTGGATATAATAAATTAAATTTATTAAATTTCATTATCTGACGTTCAAAAAATTATTTCATTAGTATTCTCAAAAAATCCTTGAACATTCATTATGAAAATTTCATTATAAAACAAATCAATACACACGTATATAGATTTTTTATAACAAAAAATTATTATGCGTATTGTGGCTTCAGAGATATTGATTTTTAATATAAACGTTTGAGAGACGGAGAGAATGTTAAACGCTTACATGAAATCGTGGTTGACGAAGATCATTTTTCAAAAAAAAATTTTACCTCACGCCCTAAGGAGAAACAACCAGGTAACGACAATCATTGTAAAGGGAGAGCGACAATATTGCACATAATAATAATAAGTATGAAAATTTACGGAGCTGGCAACTCGATAAACACAATATAAGGCATGCCGAGCATATTTGATGATAAATCAATAGTGGTGGACGCGCGCGCGTTTATCTTAATAAATGAAAAATTAATAATCGGCCATAATATTAGCCGTCCATTGGGTTTCAAGTCGCAGCCACAGCGAGGCGCGATGGTCCGGCGTTTTATCATCGGCCTCCCTCGCGCGCATCCACAGCTCGATCGTCATTTATAATTCAGGCGATTCAGCCAATAAAGCTCGGAAGTAATTGGCCTAACTGACATTGGCTCCCATTTTCGTCGCAAGCCAAGTCATCTTCGATTAGAAGATCGGCGGCCGTCAGGGAGATTATTATATCCGTCTGCGAGCCCTCGCTCGTCCTGCATCCCGACTCGGCTCGGCTCGCTTAAACCTACGCAAGCAAACCTCCGCTAACATCCCTCTTGTGACTAAGGGATGGTAGCGAGTTGGCGCAGCTAGTGTAAGCTCAGCAGCCGCCAGCGGATAATAAAGAATGACGGGGTCCGGTTGAAAAATGAGACGTCATTCCTTATTCGCATGGACGATCGGCAGGTGGAATTTCGTATGCGGGAGGCGCGCGAGCCCTTACGTAAACGATACACCTGTAACACCCGAGCGTAACACTTGGTAAGAAAAGATGTGGAGGGGCCGGTGGTTGCGGGGCTTGGGTCCGCCGGCGTAATAAACTGCGAGGTTCTCGCACGGTAAAGGATAACAGGCCCGTAAATAAGGGCGCTCGTCGCGGTTAACTCGCCGTGGAGGCCGAGTCGGCTTTGAAAAATCTCCGGCGAACGTCCCTAAAGCCGTTGGTGGGTGGGTGGTGGGAGGTGGAGTCGCTCGAGCGAGGGTCAGTCTCGCCCCAACGGCACCGCGCGGTGCCATAAATTCATAAGATCGGCGCGAGCCAGGCAAAGTGCTTCGGTCAGCCGAGGGAGTTGGTGCTGCGGTGGGGGACTTTTCTCGCGCCCCGGGATATTTATTATTTTACTTTGGGCGGCCAGGCGGGGCGAGCCAGATTGCTTTCTGATTTGCGCTTAATCGGGAAAAGTTATGGTGGCGCGCTCGTCCGCGAGGGGCGCGCGTTCCTCGCTTTTAAAAGGGGGCGGGCCTTAGTCGCGGGCGCATATTAAACCATAAATTCGTGAGCGGACGGCGAAGCGCCGCCCGCGCGACCCGTGAGCCACGCGACTCGTCCGGACCTCGAGCGAGAGCCGCGGACCCGAGCCCCGCGTCTGTGTTTCCATACTCTTTCCACGCTCTCCATGCACTTGAATGTTTACCTAAGATGGGCGGGGGCGAAGCGGAGGTGGGAGCGTATCTCGACGCTTACGACACTCGTACAGAAGAAAAACTGGAATTTGCTAGTAGAAAGAAACGGTCGTTTTGCTGATCGATTGCTTTCTACTTGATCGCGACACTAGTCTGCTTCTACATTCTCATGAATATCTTTGTCGTTCTTGCACATAAGGTACATGTGATAATATAAATTACTACACCACTTAGTTTTTCTCATGAGATAGCGAGACACACGTGCACATACATACACACACGCACTCCACACACACACACACACACACACTCTCTCTCTCCTTCCCTCGTCCGTCTCTGTATTATACTGAAAGTCTTTGGTAAATGACCAAGTTTTCTAATAAATTTCAATAAAGTTGATGGAAAATTCGATTTTATTGCAGTTATGAAAGCATCTATAAAATAAATCTGATATAGTATAATTGTGTACTTTTTAAAGCAGCTTCAAAAGTTCTCGACTTTATCTTTCTAGATATTAAATAATTAAGAGAAATTAAATTATTGGAACAATTTAGGGCCTCCGATAAAAGGGGATTGGCTCATTTTGCTTATGAGACGCAATAAATCCACTGAATGGCTGTAAAAATTTCCTTATGCATAGAATATAAAAATCCAATTATTTTCTTATTACAAGTACGGCCAACTCATAGTATTGTAATGCAAGTTATAACTAAAAAAAAAAAAATCAATAAACTGTATCTTGGGGATCGCATACGGACCAAAGAAGTAATTTGAGATTAAAAAAAAAAAGTATATATATATATATATATATATATATGGAAAGATGACCTTTCAAAATTCGATCGTCCGTACAAGAAAGCCTCGTGAATATCCAAGAACGAATGCTTAGAATATAAGTGCATTAAATCCAAGGACTTTCCTGATCACCGAGTCGTGGAGCCATTAAATTGCCACGGCGTGTCTGACCGAAAGAGCGTCAAGCTCCCGCGCGCTGCACTTAACACCCCGTATAG